GAATACCCCTGAATTAATTTTGACCTAGAAACACTTTTAAAGACTTAGGAACACTATATATTATTGATATGGAAAAGCCTGAAGCGAAGCAATGCTCAAGATGTCTAAAAACGAAAGAACAACTACACTTTGATAAAGATAGAAAACAATGTAATGATTGTATCAAACAAAGACACACATATTATTACAACAATAAAGACAAGCACGCTGAATGGGATAAAAAACACTATGAAAAGAATAAAGAGCACAAGCAAGAATACAGAAAAGAATACAACCAAAGGAAAATTGACTGTCAATACTGTAGATGTATGGTCTCACTTAGTCAGAAAGCAAAACACGAAAGAACAAACAAACACATCAACAATGTTAAGAATCCAAAACCACCAAAGACTGAAGAAGCAACAAAAGAATACAAACAGCAAACAACACAGGAAGAGATAAGAGATTACATTGAAACCTCATCAGATTTTGAATATGACATAAACAAAGAATAGGAAAACAGAAGACCCACCCAAAAGCCAACCCGTGAATCCACAGAAAGTCCTATCCTCTTTCAATCAATAAAACTAAAAGTTGAAATCTGGAACGAGACAGGGGACCAATTCATCAATTCGTTACCACATCCATATCGTTATTTCATGCCCCCAAAATCAGCCTTGAAAAAACGAATAAGGTGGTACACGTGTTGAATTGTGAAATAAAAAACAGAACAGGCAACCATCTACCCCCCACCCCCCAAAATCTGCCTTTTCTACATTTTTCCCCCAACCCTGCTGATTTGTAGAATGCTGCCGCCTCCCCAACCCCCGTGATTTTCAGAATGTTTGCAGAAATTACCGCACAGGGGAGGCTGCCGCCCCCCCACCCCCCAACCCCCGTGCTGATTTGTAGAATGGAATGCTTACAGAGCTTAACACACCCCTTGTTGAATCATCACTTCTTCGAACATCCTGGGGATGATGATCGAAGAAGTGATGATTCAGCAAAGGGCGCGTTAATCACTGTAAACCTTCTACAACTCAGCGGGGTGGTTGGGGGGGGTTCCTTCCTTCCTTCCTTCCTTCCTTCCTTCCTTCCTTCCTTCCTTCCTTCCTTCCTTTTTTCGTTCCTTCCTTCCTTCCTTCCTTTTTTCCTTCCTTCCTTCCTTCCTTCCTTCCTTCCCCCCATCGGAATGAGCATAATTTTTTTTTAAGCCCAATAAGTTTTTTGACGCCGAATGAGTTTTTTGATGCCTATCCCACTACGCCGCGCAAACCTTCGGTTTGATGTTGACAAAGTCGAAGTCGGCGTGCGACAGACTACCACCATGACCCTTTTCGCGCCCACCCTTGTAAGGGGGCTCCACCTATGCGCTTCAGCAACATTTTGCGCCGCCGTCCCTATTTTCAGTCTGAGAACTGGGTCAGTCTCCTTTTGGGGCGCCTGGGGAACACTCCCTTTGAGCGTAAGACAGCGCAACCAGATGGGAGGTTGTGGATGAGGAGGGAACAGGGATGAGCTGTCTTGACCGTCTGCGCTGCCTATTCCGCATTGTCAGAGACTCTTCTCTTCCCTCAAAGACATTCTAGCGCCGGCAAGGCATCTTGCAACAACTCGTTGCAACCGCGGGTTTTCGGCTTCGGACAGAGGGGTGTGCGGCCTTGTCACGAAGACCCCCATGCAAAGCATCAAGATGCACTGCACATTGCACAACACCAAGCCCGGAATTTCATCTGGCTACCTAGGCTTGACAAGCCTTGAGTGCTTTCGACACATTGGAGGGCATGGATGCACTTGAGACTTTGCAGGCGCAAGGCCTGGGGTAGTGTCTTTCGACCTATTTGGGAACAGACACGGATTGCTGGGTATGTTGCGCAAGCGCCTTCAGTTTCTACAGCGCGTGGTCTTGCAGGCATACAGGCCAGCGCTCGAAGAGGGAGCTGACGAGAGAGCCTCTATATCTGATTTGAGGTTGTTCCATGTCAAGCGCACCGCCAGCAAGAACAGTGTGGCAGAAAGAGGGCTGCTATCATTAGGAAGTGGATGACCATTTTCGCTGTACATGTCACTGCGTTTGCGCTTGGACGTCAGTCGTACAAGCTTGACCCGTTGGGAAACTCACTCTGCGCTGGTTTGCAACATGTCTTTGCGCGGAGATCAACTGTGGAACCGTGCAGGGCCAATTACGGCCAACTTGTGATTTGTGCATTGGTGCGGGGATGATTTCCCTTGCTTGAGAGCACTGTTTACAGTCTTATGACAGATGTTGGTCCCCATCGTTCTTGAGGCCCTGCGTTGTCGCAACTGCGTTTTGCAATTTTCTGCGTGGTCTTCCTGGCGCAAGCGGTGTTGCGCACAAGCTGTCAGGGCAAGCCAAAATTTCGAAAACAGCTTTTCTTGACTTTCATCCATTCCGGCAAGGGCCAAAAACAGACACTGAAGATTTCTCATGCTGATGCCAGTTGCATAGTGGTCAGCAAACCTGTACTGCTAAAGTACACGTGAAGCTCCCCTCAAAAGGGCGAGCCACTGGTCATGAGGCAGAAGTCTTGCCTGACAGGTCTGAGAAACAAAAAAAAGGTAAGATGGAGCCAAGCGATTGTTTGGTGGTTGCTGCAGTTTCCATGTGTGAAGAGAAGAGACTCAGCCATATTGAGGCCAGTGTCACAGGCGACATGCGCCTTCGCCTTGATGTGACAAGGCCTGGCTTTAGGAAAGGCCAACATCCTGGACTGTCTGGGGCACAAGAAGTTGGTTGAACGTCTAGAAGTTGGTTGAACGTCTGTTTGATGTTCGTGCTACTGAGCCACCGGGCCCAGACAGCAACAGCCGGCCAACGCAGACAAGAACACCCGCGAAGCACGGCAAGCGGCAAAAAGGGCAAGGCAAACGCAAATCATAGGGGGGAATTTCTGTTCGTACGCATCCAGGTCTGGAAGATGGTGTCCCATCCACGAGGGCTGGCAACGCGACACGCTTCAACCAAAACCTTCATAAGTGCAACCTGCCGCTAAGCAGAAAAGGGCTCCGGTTGCCATCGCGTGGATCACGTCATTGCGTAAGCAATCAGTTCCTGACTTGGACGCGCAATCAGACGTGCCTTCAGGAACTTCAGGCAACAACAAGCCAGGTTCGCCCCAAAGAAGCAAGCCAAGCGAGAAGCTGCCAGTGGACCAATTTCCACACCTCTTGTCATCGAGCTCAGTCGGTGGCCCAAGACCTGCAACGTTGATCTTTCCAAGCAGCATGGCTGGGATTTCCTTGATTACATTTTGACGCAGCGCTGCTCCGCCTTGTGGCGCGTGCTCACGCGCAAGGGACACTCCGCTCCCTGGTCCGAACTTCATGTAGAAGTGGTCTGTTTAGGATGCGCCAGTTGCAGCCTGCAGTCCGGAAAATCATGCCCGTGTGGACCAAGAAAGAGCTCGCGTGTTGAAGCTGTGGAATTCGTTTGCAACTGAGTTTACCGACAGCCTCACTCCTTCTCCTCTCTAAATGGTCCGGGTTGAGGTTCGCAATGGTGGCACAAACTCACCACTGCCAGAGGCCTGACTAGGGCTTGAGAATTTGAAAGCATTGCAGCAAATTACCCCTCGCCTGCTTCAATAGGCCCACGCGCGTCGGCAGCAACGCTGCTAGACGCATCTCGTTCGGGATTGCCGATGCCTTTACTGCTACTGCCTAAGCCGTGAGTAGCACCGGACCTCTTGAAGGAATTCGAAAACGGCGGCCCCGAGCAAGTGAGGGCCACCCGGACTTCGCTACTTGCTACTTCCATGATCCCGGCCTGACTGAGGATCCACTCATCAGTTACCACGAAGGGACGGACCTCTGCGGTTTCCGCCATCAGGCCTGCGGTACCTTAACTGAAGGTACCTGCAGGGTTGCTAAGAATGGGGTTCGCGGCGCCAACCACAGACGAATCCTTGATGACCAGCGAAAAGGTTTGGAAGAAGAGTTTTGGGAGGATTAAACAGGCCCTGACCTACCAACAAGAAGAGACCGCCCAATTCCCCAGGCTGGCGCAACAAGAAAACAAACAGGGTGTCCAGTTTGTAACAAGCAAGCAAGCGGCGCTCCGAGCAAGCAACCAAAGAAGCAAGCGCAGAGCAACTAAACAAGCGCTCAAACCACCACCAAAGCCATGACACAAAACCAGCGCGATCGCTACCACCTTGGCTCGGCCGCCCGGGTTTGATCCGCGGAGACGCGTTGGCCACAAGCGTAGATAAAAATAAATGCTCCTAAAAACAGAAACGAAAGAGACGAATGGCAGAAAACCAATGGGAACGAGAAAAACAACGCCTTTGCTATCTTCGAAGAAAAACAGCAAGCAAAACACGTGGTTCTTGTATTTTGAATGTTGTCTTTTCCTTCCTTTGTTCTTCCTTTCTCTCGTCTTCTCGAACTTTCCGAGGCCCCCGGCTCTGAGTGCCTTGGCGCAGGAGAGCAGCTTCTTCCGCGAGTCATCCAACCGCGCCTTGTCCTAAGAACTTCCGTTTCTGAAGGGTATCGAAAGAGGAACGGCCGAGAATAGACGAGAAAGAGGAAAGGAGAGTACATTAAGAAAACAAACAAACAAGGTTTATATAAACAAGAAAGGAACAACATGAAGAACAAATCCCCGAGAGAACGCAACAGAAATCCGTTTTGCAAATGTCGTCGAGGCCTTCTTCACCGGCACTTTGTCGCTAACGGCGACCATGGGAACCACATCATCGTCGGCGGCTTCAGTGGCGGCGTCTGCTCCTTGCAAATTACGTACGCGAATCTGCAGCTTGTTCTGAATTGAAGTCTTGGGGTGTCAGGACTCGGCTCATCTCGGCGTCTGGCCGTCGTTGCAGCGGCAGCCAACAACCTCAGCTCGAAAGCTTGCGAAAAGCTCGAAAGCTCGAAAGTTTTTAGGATCTTACCCCCATGGCCCGCAAGATTGCGTGTCTTTTGGGCCAAAGCCGCAGATTGCGCGAGAGCATACAGCACAGCCGTACACAGCAAGACCAAGCAGATCGCAATGCGGGTCTATCTGCTCCTTCTTCAATCGCTTTGCTGCTTTCTCCAAGGCCTTCTCCACATTTCCATCCTCAACCTGGAGAAAGGGAAAACAGGGAAAACGGAAACAAGTCAAAGCAGAAAACGGCTTGTGGCTGGCCATTGACACATAGCCGACGATGCGATCATCCTCGATGGCAGTGTCAATTCTTGAAACCCCAATTCCCAACCAAAATCGTTCCTCAAGCTCCACCTTGGCCCACATCAGTTGATCTGCTCTGAACCTGGCGCACGCCGAATTCCATTCTTCGAGACGCATCGAGACTGGAAACCTGCTCTTGCTCTCGGTGCAGTCCACCATTGGGTCTGAGAAGTTGTCGACCTCAATGCCAAATAGCATCGCTCGGAGCAAACATGGCGGGAGTCAAAATCTAGCTGGCAACTTGGCCGGTCAAGCTGGCGCTGGGCAATCGTGCTAAGGCAACTAAAGCAAGGAAGACAAACGACAGCAGGCACTGGACTGGTCGGTATGGCAATCGGGATGCAATCGGCGATGTTTATGCTGAGTTGCGCGATCTCGCTGAGAGCAAGACATGCCCCGACGCTCGATGTACGGCCGGCGTGGACACTATGGAGCTGTCCAGGCCAACCACATCATCTCGAAAATGCACCATCCTGCGACAACCATGTATATAATCAAAGGAAGGTTAGAAGGAAACTTCCGAGTTACGGAAACCAGTTGAAAGCTAGATGGTGCAGGGAAGGAAGAAAACATGCGTGCGCGTGTGGCGGTGGAATAGAATTTGCGAAAAGGAGCAACCCTCTGCGGGCTTGGTGGTGTGGAGCTGGCTGAAAGCTACCTCAGTCGCGGCGTCTGACGGACGACGGGTGCGGGACGGTCTCGGGACGGGGGCGGCGCCGGGACCATTTGCACGGCAACACAGAGGTTTCGCAAGGATTGAATTGCGTAGAGGCGCGGCATTTTGGTGAGGTCGGGTGCAGATTTCGTGGCAGGCGCAGCACTTTCGCAAGGTCAACTTTTCTCAAGGATTGAATTGCGTGGCAGGCGCAGCACTTTCGAACGGTCAGGTGCAGATTTTGTGGCAGGCGCAGCACTTTCGCAAGGTCAAGTAAAGCTTTCGTGGCAGGCGCAACATTTTCGCCAGGTCAAGTGCAGAATTCGCGGCAGGTGCAGCGCTTTCGCAAGATCGAGTGCAGAATGCGTGGCAGGCGCAGCATTTTGGCAAGGTCAGGTGCAGATTTCGTGGCAGGCGCAGCACTTTTGCAAGGTCAAGTGCAGAATTCGTAGCAGGCGCAGCACTTTCGCAAGGTCAAGCAAAGATTTCGTGGCAGGCGCAGCACTTTCGCAAGGTCAAGTGCAGAATTCGTAGCAGGCGCAGCACTTTCGCAAGGTCAAGCAAAGATTTCGTGGCACGCGCAGCACTTTCGCAAGGTCAAGTGCAGAATTCGTAGCAGGCGCAGCACTTTCGCAAGGTCAAGCAAAGATTTCGTGGCACGCGCAGCACTTTCGCAAGGTCAACTTTCGCAGCCGGGGCTCGAAAATCGCAACTCTTAAGTACAAAAGTGGTACGCGAAGTCTTTCGCAGCTGGGGCTCCAAAATCGCAACTTTTAAGTACGAAAGTACCCTGGGCATCGGCTATTGATTTAAATCAATGGGAAGTTCATGTTCTTTATTGATATTGCTTTTTGTCGTTTCTATTGATTAAATCAATATTTGAAGTATGTTGTGTTTTTTTAAAATTCTGTTGATATTAATTTGTCATTTTCTTCTTGCTTTCTATTGATTTTTTTTGACAATTCTATTGATATGAGTTTGGGTCCTGTGCCTCTGGAACTTGGGCTCAAATCCTACTATAGAATGCTTGTGGGCAACCCTTGATAAAAGGGATTGCTTGCCAGTGCCCTTGGTAAAAGGTCACTAGTGCCCTTGGTAAAAGGGTCATGAGTGTTGGCAAAGGTGGGGCCAGGCACACCCCCAAACCTCACATAGACCCAGGACTGCTCCTCAAGGAGATTTCCAAGCACTCAGGCTTGATTCAAGATCTTGGCAGCTATGAAAAAATCTCTAGGTCACAGGCATGTGACCCAAAAGGCCTGTGGGTCTGCTTGCCCTTGCTAAAAGGGCTGGTTGAACTGTCATCCATATGTGAGATTCATGGGGCTTGCCTCAGGCAAGCTATGTTTCAAGTCTTGCTGGGTGAGCCCTCCTTGAACAACACCAAATGGAATGGATCAGTGTGGGTGGGGCTGAAGGCGAATAACAATCCTCCTGTCCCACATGAGGCGGCTCCTGGGGCAAATGAGATGCAAGCATGTGCCTCCAAGCTGACTGGGGCTGAATTCCTGCAGTTGCAGGAAGTTGTGAAGATGATCCAGCAGAAAAAGCAAGTGGCAGCAGACCCCACCCTTGCTGAAAGGGAAAAAGGAAACCCCTTGTTGAAAGGGAAAAAGCAGACCCCACCCTTGCTGAAAGGGAAGCATCACACACACCCCTTCCTGAAAGGCCAGAAGACGCCAGAAAGCTCAAGAAAGAGGTTTCTGAGGCAACTGTTGATTCTGAAGGCTTTCCATTGGCCTTACAAACACCTGACAAAAGCCAAAGCCCCTTGGTAAAAGGGGATGGGGTGGACAAGGGGGAGAATGATGCAACCCTACTGCAGCCACCCTCTTTCAAAAGGAGGAGGAAAGGCAGCTTAGCAACACAACCAGCAGCCACAGAAGATGGTAAACAAAGGTTAAAAGATGCCTTGGGCATTGGCAAGGCCAAAAAGGCAAAGACCAAAGCAAGGAACCACAAAGCAAGTTCTTCCACAAAACCCTTGGTAAAAGGGAAAGGCTCCAGAAAGAAAAAGCCATTGGTAAAAGGTGCAAAGCCCTTGGTAAAAGGTGCAGCTGTAAGAAAGCCATGGGCAAAGCTCTATGTCACCCAAACTGCAAAGCCACCATGGAGAGCTTACATAACAGGCACTACAGACCCAAAGGGGAAGCCAAAACTAGTTGTGGAAACAACAGAAAGGAACCATCCAAAGTACAAAGAGATCTTGCAGAACATCAAGCAGCAGTTGCAAGAGGAGCACCTCACAAAGGAAGAAGCTGTGGAGTTGAGGGCAAGCCTCTACAAAACACACCCTTGCTAAAAGGTGACAATGTGAAAGTTTTAATGGCATCACCCTTGGTAAAAGGGAAGGGTTACCTGTACAGCTATACTTTTGGTAAAAGGGGCAGAGCACAGCAGCTTGGTGTCAAAAACAGTGCGTGCAGAATTGTTGCCCCCTCCCCCCCCCCCCAGGGTGAGACACATATGTTGTTTTTTTGTTTGTGCCCCAAGGGTAGTTTAAATGGACTGCCTTCTAATGATGCCCAAACGCATGTTCACCTGTCATTTTTGAGGGTTCCCTGTCAACATGTTTTTTCTTGGGCAGTGATGCCACATCCTTGAGCCAAAGACCCTGCAGCCATTTGCATATGCTCAAGCTTGTGTGTTTGCTAGTTTTTTGCTGTCCTTGGTAAAAGGACAATAGGGGCCAGCCTTGGTAAAAGGCCAATGCCTGGCTACACATGGAACAACAAAGGCAGGCCCTCAGGCACTGGCACAGTGAGCAGGGCAAGAGCAGAAAAGTTCAAGAAAAAGGGCGAAGAAAGAGTAGCCAGAGAAAAAGCTGAGGCTGAGGAAAAGGCCAGGCAAGAAGAACAAGAACAATCTGCACCCAGCTCCCTTGCAAAAAGGAGAGTTGCAAAAAGGGAAGAAGAGAAGCCTGCAGGGCCCAGCACCCTTGATAAAAGGGAAGAGGGGCAGCCAGCAGCACCCAGCTCCCTTGCTAAAAGGGAAGAAGAGAAGCCTGCAGAGACAAGCACCCTTGATAAAAGGGAAGAGGGGCAGCCAGCAGCACCCAGCTCCCTTGCCACCCTTGTTAAAAGGGAAGAGGGGCAGCCAGCTGCATCCAGCACCTTTCTTAAAAGGGAAGAAGAAAAGCCTGCAGAGCCCACCCTTGATAAAAGGGAAGGGGAACAGCCAGCACCATCCACCCTTGTCAAAACGGAGCCTAGCCCCCTTGATAAAAGGGAAGAAACAAAAGAGCAGCAAGCTCAAGACAAGGAGCCAACAAGTGAGGCTCTTGGCAAGGCCCCTTCAAAGAACAAGCAGGCAAAGGACCAACAGCAAGGGGCCCTGGTCCTTGGCCCCAGCCCTGCCAAAAAAAGCAAAGAGCTTGTTGCAGCTGAGTCCTCCTTGGAGGACTCTGTTGACTGGGGCACCTCCTCAGAAACAGAAAGCTCCAGCACCCCTGCAGCCAAGCCCCAGGCAAGCAAAACGGGAACTGCCACCCTTTGTAAAAGGGGAAGTGTGTTCAGCCCTGAGAGGCAAGCCCAGCCTACCCTTGAAAAAAGGGCAAGAACAAACACGGCCACAACCCCTGCAACAAAGAGAAAAGCCCCCCTTGATGAAAGGGAACCCCCAATGTGGCGGCTGAAAAACGTCCCCAAAGCTAGTGTGGCAGTGGACTGGCACAATGTCATTTGCTGCAATGATGTGGTGCCCTCCAGCTCCATCAATGCCTTGGAGATGTTAAAAGGGAATTGCAAATGGCCCCAACGCAAGCTGCCCTTGATAAAAGGGAGAGTGGTGGAACCTACACCCCCTTGATAAAAGGGAAGCCAGCTGAGCCCTCCCCCCCTTGATGGAAGGGTGAAGTTTGGCCAAAATGGCTTCTGCAGCTGCAGGCTTTGGGCTGTGGCAAAAGTGCATGTGCTCAGGGAATGGGCAGGGCTGCCCCCTTTTGGGCTAGTACAGGAAGTCAAACAGTTTCAATTTTGCAACTGATCCCTTTTCTTAAGGGTGCAAGGGTGCTTTTCTCTAGGGAATGGGCAGGGCTTCTGGTGAGTCAAATTTGCAACTGGTCCCTTTTCTCAAGGGTGCAAGGGTGCTTTTCTCCAGGGGTCCCTTTGGGGCTTGACCTTTTTTCTGAAGGGTGTCAATACCATTTTTGGGTTGGGGTTGAATTGGGAAGCCCTTCTCTCAAGTGATTCTTTGGGATTGGGAGTGGGGGGTATGACACATGTTTCCATCGCCAAGGTGCCCTTTTACCAAGGGCAGCATTGCAACTTGCTGTAGTTGTAGAAAAGGCAAATGCCCTTGATGAAACTTGTTTTTACTGGTGTATGTGGCTAGCCCTTTGCAAACAACACAGTCACCAGCATGGGAAGTGAGGGGTCGGTTACCCCGACGACTGCTCTCTATCCAAGCACGATGTGCGAGGCAATCGTTAGAGCATGGTACCCGAACGGCACGTTCAAGAAGGTTGCGAGTGCTATGCCGGTCGAAGTTGACCCTGTTGAGCAGCGATGGAAAAAGAAGCCGAACACCTTGTACGTTAGCCTGGACAGCGAGACTGCCAAGATCCCGACACGGGCCACATCGGGGAGTGCGGGTTTGGACACCTATGCCTCTGAGGGAACATGTATTCCCGCAGGGGGGTTCAGGTTTGGTCAACACCGGAATCTCGATAGAGATGCCCGCTGGGGTATATGCTAGGATAGCTCCCAGGTCAGGACTAGCCGTGAAGAACAGGATCGCCGTAGGCGGTGGGGTCATTGATCCCGACTACGACGGAGAAGTCAAGGTCATTCTCTTCAACCATGGGGATGAGGACTTCAT